TAAAGTTGTATTAATAAGGGTGTTTATTGTAATCTCTTGTGTCCCAGTTTGCATGTTGCAGTCATGATTCGGCTCTCAAAATGATAAAGAAGTTTAGAATGTCAGTTTAAATAACTTTTTTCATAGCAAAGTTTGAATAATATGCTTAATTAAAATGAATTGATCTGTGCTAAACATAGTTTTAGATAGTAATACTTCATTTTATATTTTACAAGTTTATAGTAATAATGTATTACTAAAATGAATAAACAAACAAATAAATAAATACATTTCAACTTAGTCTGCATATTGTATTAATTTGTGGACGATGTTATTCTCACTTTAACGAAAGGGAAAGCAGGTCCTTGTTCCAGTGGCTCATTCTCGTGCTCTTGCTGATGTTGAACATACTTCTCCAGTCCTTCTTCCTCAAATATCTTCCTTTCTGCCACCATATCAAACAAGGTGCGGGAAGAAACTGCGATAGTAACTGCATATTTCGGCTTGGGCTGTTAAAAGACACGTCCAAAAACAATGACAGTCAAACTGGCTGCAGCTAATCGTATAGCCTACAGTATGAGCATAACACCTTATTGAAATTCACTGAACACTTACGGGTCTCGGTTTTGTTGATTTTACGTTTTCAAAGGGCGCTTTAGCAGCTGCCCAGTCCTTTTCCTCTCCTGCAGCTTCCTTTTTGTCAGTTGAAGCCACTTCTGTTTGTTTTATTCCGCTCATTGTATCTTATGAACTGTAAATGGTCTGTTAATGTTAGTGTGCGTGCTTGACTTCCTATGTTGAGGCAGGGCTGGATGTCAGACATCGCGGAAATGTGAAGGGGTTGGATGCTGAGAAGGAGGCGTTCCGTTTGACGCAGGACGTGTGTGCTTTCACTCACAGCAGAGACTAGTCTGAGATCCACAGCTAGTCATTTTTGTTCACTGTAAACATGAGGGTTTTATCTCCAAGACCATGTCGCTTATTGGAATGTTGTAGTTATTAAAATAGGACAGCTTCGTTTTTTTCTGTGACCAAATTTTTGGGTGTGTAATAGAATAGAATAGAATAGAGACTTAAATATCTAGAATGTTTTTAATTATTTTCATTGTCTGACGAACACTACTGTTGATCTAATGATGGTACAAAAATGTTCTGAAGTAAATAACGTTATGTGAATCGTGACTATTCACAAGCTGTTTTACGGTATAGGCGAAATGCTTGGAAATGATATTTAAAGTTTTCAAGTCCATTCATTAGCTATTTGTAGCACGCAAGCCACTCAATAATCGCAGCTTTGTTACTAGTCTCAACCTTCTGTCAATTTGATGATAAAATACAAACAATAAATGTGTTTTTACGCTCTTTAATTTGTAGTGAGATATTTCGCCTCAGTTCAAGCGGCATATGAATCAATGATAATTCCCTCTTTAATATTTGCAGCACGAACTAAACATGAATATTTGAATGCATGCATGAAAAAAAAATCAGAACAGTTTTATACAAAACGAATGTCTCATGAAATCGATGAATCAGAGTTTAAAAAAACGTCAATAAGTCTACACTTTATTGCTGTTTTTTATGTTAAATGTGAAGGGATGCCACAGACTTCGTTTTTTCTTTTCTTTTTTTTGGCGGAGTAGCCTATGGAATTTTCATATTAACTTGACGCAATGTAACATGGTTTTATTATCGTAATTTTGACTTTATTCTTAAAATATTATGACGTTAATCTTAATTATTTCGTTATTTTTCAACGTGGCACTAAAATGCTGCCGTAGGCTATTTGTAGCTACTGAATGCAAACACAATTTTGGCACAGAGGCCCAAAAATACAAACAAAATAAATAAAAAACAAACAAAAAAGTAAAAAAAATAATGAGGGGATATTTTAATTATTTGTTAATAAACAAGTGTCTTCTGAGTCAGTGTTGCACAGATGAATTTGACGAACCTGACTCGCCATCTCCTCATTGGATAGCTGAATTCTCGTTTTTCGTTTTTTGGGGGGAAAAAAAAAACGAAAAAGGTGCCGTTTTCTCATTTTTCTACTTTCAATATTAAATAAAAAAACGAATGATCGAATGATACACGGATTGGCGCTCCTGCTCAAGACAGAGACGACAGAAAGCGCATCAGAAAGCGTTTGTTTTCCTTATTTTACAAAAGCACATGGTTTTGTTGATATTGTGAGTGCACACAAATAAAAGTAGACTTTGCAGTTCCGAATATGGTATACTCTTACCTTTATGAGCAAAAATGACGGCATATTTTTAAGCTTTCACTGTTATTAAAAAAATGCAAGTTATCTCGCTGGCGCCTCCCATGTCCTGCAAAGCAAAGATTCCGCTTCCACTCAGCACAAACGATTGGATATGCGCCTAACAGCGCACATTTATCTAGGTTAAATGTTTTAATTAATACTGTGAAATGCACAAAGTGTTTTATGTCTATAGATTTTATTTTAGGCAAGTCGTCGTGTTGATTTGAGATGGCTAAATTGATCAAACATATGCTCAACTCACTGTCTGCCGCTGACCGCTTGGTCGTTCCTTTAAAAAACAAAAACCTGAATTTAACAAACATAAAATGTTCCAAACATATTTCTTAATTAACTTAATAAATAAACGAAAATAAATATTACCATTAAAAACCGAAACTGAACTAGCAGCTCTGTAATGGGGAAGAGAGAGAGAGAGAGAGAGAGAGAGAGAGAGAGAGAGAGAGAGAGAGAGTCGTATGGTAAAAATTATATTTTTAATTGTGTAAAGTTACGTTCAAAATAACCACAAAATGTCATGCCTTTGAAAAATAAAGAGAACAACAGAATGTGCTGCTTTAGCGGTCTCGGTCTCCTCGAGCATCTTTCTGGCGCATGCCACAAACAAGAAAGAGAGAGAGAGAGAGAGAGAGAGAGAGAGAGAGAGAGAGAGAGAAAAGTCGGACTCGGGCTGAGAATTCTGATAAGCTGTCGGACAAGGGAAATTCATGGAAATTGCAGGGAAATTAATTTTCTGTTTTAGCTACTTTCAGTTGAAAGCAGTTGGCAACACTGCTCCTGTCGGACTCGGGCTGAGAATTCTGATAAGCTGTCAGACAAGGGAAATTCAGGGAAATTGCAGGGAAATTAATTTTCTCGTTTCAATTAAAAGTTCCCCTCAGCTCGGCGGGCCCCCAATCTGTCCGGACCCATATGCACCTGCATACCCAGACGCTACGCCACTGCCATGATGTATTTCCATTTGGCACAAGTGTTCAAATAGGCTTGAAGACCCCAAGGCTGTTTAGAAATGTTCATTACCTGATGGGACACGTGATATAAACTTTTTACAGTGCTTTATTTACACAGTACAACGGCGCCAGTGCGCTCACCACACTCCAGCTACAGGTGGAGAGGAGAGAGAGATAGAGACAACTGAGTGGATGGAGATTATTAGGAGGCCATGATTGACAAGGGCCAGTGGAGGGCATTTGACCAGGACACCAGGGATACACCCCTACTCTTTACTAGAAGTGCCATCCCTGTTGAAAAAACCAGCATATGCTGGTTAGGTATGTTTTGACGCTGGGATGCTGGTTTAAGCTGGTCCTTTGCTGGTTTATGCTGGTCATGTGCTGGCAAAGGACCAGCATAAACCAGCAAAGGACCAGCAAAGGACCAGCAAAGGACCAGCAAAGGACCAGCAAAGGACCAGCAAAGGACCAGCAAAGGACCAGCAAAGGACCAGCAAAGGACCAGCAAAGGACCAGCAAAGGACCAGCAAAGGACCAGCAAAGGACCAGCAAAGGACCAGCAAAGGACCAGCAAAGGACCAGCAAAGGACCAGCTTAAACCAGCATCCCAGCGTCAAAACATACCTAACCAGCACATGCTGGTTTTTTCAACAGGGATGGGATTTTGAATGACCACAGAGAGTCAGGACCTCTGTTTAACGTCTCATCCGAAGGACGGTGCTTGTTGACAGTGTAGTGTCCCCATCATACTGGGGCATTAGGACCCACACAGACCACAGGGTGAGCACCCCCTGCAGGCCTCACTAGCACCTCTTCCAGCAGCAACCTATAGTTTTCCCAGCAGGTCTGCAATCCATGTACCGACCAGGCTCAACCCTGCTTAGCTTCAGTTGGCAACCAGTCTTGGGCTACAGGGTGATATGGCTACTGCTCCAAAGTGGTATTAAATATAGTGCAACCAAAATCACAAACTTCCGTAGGTGAAAAACAATATGTGAGTATACCTGTCTTCACAGCACTGATAAAACAATAGGTGAAAAGTACCCGGATGACCTACTAGTCTACTTCTGAAGTTTTTGAGTTTGAGACAGGCTAGTAGTCAGAGACCCTATCTGCAGGTTACACAATAGGAGGCGACAAGTGACTGCTTTACGCGCTAATAATTTAATCCACAAATGCGTTCAAAAACATTCGGAGTTCAAAACACTGATTCATTATAGCGGTCTGAATGGCGTTGATCATCAAGTCTGCCTCTATTTATAATAGAATGTCCGCGCACTCAAAAGACGCCAGAAGGGGTTTCGTCCTCGGTTAATGGTGTCCGAATGTAGGCGTCGGTTCAAATCGTGTCAGACAGCAGCTTTATACAGTAGCTGGACAACAAGTAAAAACTCAGAAGATGTAAGAATGTAAGGCACTAAATGTTATCATTTTCTTACATCGGTCGAGCTCCATTGAGGCGCCAGACTCAAGGCAATCCCACCTTCTCAGTTGTTGAGGTTTCTGGTTTCTGAATAGAGCGTGGGTTCAAATCCCACTTCTGGCCAGACACATTTGCCGTGAATGAATAAAAGTAGCTTAAACATAATTTAAACCAATGTTATCATTTCAGTAGGACATTCTAAACACAACCTTTTGCATATGACTGAATCACAGCCGTGCTTATATTCGGAACCGCAACTGATATCAACCAGCTAATACGAGTCATTTTAAGGGTTAAGATCGTGTAGAAATAACTGTACGTTGCCACTTTTTACAGTGTTTGTGTCACACGTGCTGCAGCATGCATCACTGTCCCAGCATCTCTCCGACCTCTCACAGCATGGAGGATCTTCTCTCTACACCACCCCTTATCACGTCCCATTCGCAGCATCATGGCGTTTGAGGGTGAGTATCACTGACCAGCGTGGGTAGAGTACACCGTGATCTTTATAGGTAACAACATATGACAGGGTCGGTCGATTAAGAATGTTAAACGTAAGCGGTTTTATTTTTAATAGTAAGTTCTAATGCATTTTTGACTCGGCTATAGCTGGTTATGTGCTACTGCACCAATGCGGACCCAGCCATATAGAGTAATGTAAGCGTTTTGCTTGGAAGCTAAATATATAAACACAATAACGCTTTTTTATTTGTGTATGAAAAATGCATGTGGAAAGACGGGAAAATCCTTACTTCGTAGTGTGCTTAAGTTTTGTTTGTCTGTTTGTTTGTTGATATTATGTCGTCGCGTTATGAAATGGTCAGTGTTTTTATAGCAGCATGTGCGCAAGGTCTCCATCTGTTATTCATGTCTTTGACACGCCAGGTGGTCCTAACCAGTGTTGGGGAAAGTTACTTTTAAAAGTAGTGCATTACAATATTGTGTTACTCCATAAAAAAAGTAACTAATTACGTTACTTAGTTACTTTCGATGGAAAGTAATGCGTTACGCTACTTTTGCGTTACTTTTTAAATCTGGACAGGGCTTGCTTGTTTGTTTTTAAAATAAAAAAGTTATATTTTTGTGAAATATAAAAGCCTTTTCACACCAAAAGTGAAATGAATAAGCCTCAGGCTGAAGGGAAAGTAAATTTGCATCCGTACAGTAGAATGCAGAAGAAGAAATTTCAACACACTTCAGCAATTATTTGAAAAAGTAACTCAGATATTCTCTTGTAAATTAAAAAGTAATGCGTTACTTTACTAGTTACTTGAAAAAAGTAATCTGATTACGTAACTCGTGCTACTTGTAATGCGTTACCCCCAACACTGGTCCTAACATTAGTAAAACTACAAGATGGCTTACTCACTGATACACTGTCATCTGGTGTGAGTTTTGACATTAGTAAACAAGAAAAATGTCTTTTAAAAAACACCTGAAGAATGTTGGATATTGGATAGGTTAATAACATGGTATATCACATGGTACTGAATGATAACATGATTGACATGCTTCTCCGATTTAAATATTAGCCCTGTTCAGAACATGCCAATAGCATGATACTTTTTGTATTTAGTGTGTTTATGAAGCTCAGTAGCTTACATAATCAGATAATTATCTTAAAACACATTTTGTTAAAATCTGAAGACACTTTCCACCTAAATAACTTGTAATTTTGAAAAAAAAACAAAAAAAAAAACAGAAGTGTAAATGCCTGAGAGTATCAACTCTATGTAAAGAAACCGTCAATAATACAGTATGACAAAATTAACACGATTCAGTCAAAAAGTAAAATTCGGTCACTCCCACGTTGTCCTGTCTGACCATGTCCTGTGAAACACAAAATGAGCAATTTTAAAGAAAGCCATGATTGACCTTTTCAATCTAAATAATGAGCATAGAATGAAGATGCCAGGCCTCAGTAATTATTGTAAAAATATAATTAAAGTAGTCCACATGACTCCAGATTGATACAATAGTGATTTTGTGAGCAACAGACCAATGGTTTTAGTATTATTTATGTACAATTTTTTTTGTTGGTTTGTTTTTAATTTTTCTTTTATGTAAGCTATAAGTTTAGAAATAATTTTGAATGTTTCTATATAGCTGTAATTTATTATTTTGGTTTTAGTTTTAGTATTTTTAGTATTTGACTTATTTTATTAGTTGCGACATTACTAATTTTCATTTAAGTTTTTTAATAATCTAATATATATATACAGTATATATATATATACTGTATATATACTATATATATATACAGTATATATATATATATATATATATAATTTTATTTCAGCTTTATTTAAATTAATGAAAACGATTTTTAGCTTTAGTTTTAATAACAACCTTTAAAAACTGAAATTTAAGTTCTTAAGTCCTTGACATCTGCTCTAGCTCTCCTAGGAGTGTTCTTTTGTGAATAAACAATCTGTCACTGTTCAGACAAATTTAGGCTTTTTTATGAATCAGTTGATCAAATTCACAAAACTGATCTGAATGATTCGTTGAATCATTAGTAGGCCTGCAGTTCAGTCACCATTCATTTTAATTGCATAGAAAAGATAGACCAGGACATTCTTCAAAATGCTTACTTTTGTGTTTCCAGAGAAATATCAAAGTCATATAGGTTTGGAACAACATGAGGATGAGTAAATGATCTTTTTTTTTTATTCAGTCATTCTTTTCTGGCTGAACTATTGCTTTAAGAATGGTATGTGACAATATTAATGGAAAGAAAATGAAAGAGCTTGCGCCAGAAAGATATAGTGCTCTGCCAACCAGCACACTGTGTGCAAAATCATGCTCCTTCGAGAAAGCTCTGACTGAAAGTGTGTGTGTAAGAGAGATATGCATCATCATTAATCTCAATGTCACTGGCAACATTTTAACAACTACTTATTTTAAACTGTGTCCCTGCAGTGGGCATATAGAATATGAATTGTCAAGTCAGTGACAAATAGAAGAGAGAGTCAAAGAAAGTTAGTAGGCACTTTCTTGATTGCAAGTGCTGTTTCCTGTCCTCAGGTGGGGGGCGGAGCTGTGGTGTTCATGAACTCATCTGCGCTAGAAGAGGTGAGAGCATCTTCCTCATCCACGATAACATGCACCGATTGCTCCCGAATATTTATTGTATTACTAATTTATACTTTGTAATAGATAAAATATTTTTGTACCCCCTCACCTTCCTTGTCCCACACTTCTATCAATTATGAATGACCTATCAGGTTTGGTGAACAAAAACAAGGGTCATTATTAATTCACGACAAAGGATTGTGTTACTATGAGCAGGAAGACCTATGTGTAAACAACACAATTTCTACTACTTAGTGGCTGATATTTAAATAAGCATGTCTTTGTCTCCGGCTATCACAGCCACAGAGCAAAGGGGAAGATTTTGTTACATAACAGTAGGCAGCAGTGGAAGATTATGGGCGAAATATCAAAAATTGAGCGTAGCGGCTTTGCCTTATGGGATTTGAGTTCATTTGGATTAGCAAATTTGCATTTGCTTGCATTGTCACATTATAGGGTAACTCATAGATCTGAAAAGCATACTGTTACGTACATGTAGAAAGATATTTTCTGTAGTGAAAAGATCTCTGTATAGTGCAAAATGCTATTTAGTGCTATATAGTCTTAACTTGTTGGTGGTTCAAGTGAGCACTACTTAGTGGACGTGTCTTAAGTAAATTTCAGTGTCTCTGAAACATATCTTCCAAATTATTCTGTATAATCTGTCAGCCTCATGATATCCCTGTCTATCTATGGTCCAGTTAGCATGTGGATATGTGTTTGCCACTTATATACGAGCCAATCCAGTTTCAGGGTAATGTAGGGTAGGTTCCAATGGAAGGTCCAGTGGTATTGTGTGCACAAAGTGTGAAGGGGCATCCAGTTACCTTAGACTAGTGAATTATTCAGCACTGAGAGAGATAGATTCAAGACAGGTGCTATAGATTCACTCACTGCAAGAGATGGAAGGCAAACGTTTTAAATATGGCCTAACTGATCTATGAGGAATAAGGAACATTGGCAGATGAGATATAAAGATTCACAAACGGACTATAGAAGGTATTATTGGATTTAGGAGATATCGAAGGACTCCTTGTTATCTGCAGGTTGTGGTAATATTTGCTGGAGTGTTGAGTGCTTTTAAAGTTTTTTTTTTTTCTGATCGTAATGCACAGGTTTAAATAAACTGTGACCAATATATATTTCATGGTCTGTTGAAGAAGCAGAGAAAGTCTGTGCTTTACTCTCATGTTTCTACTGTAAGTAGGAGGTTCATTGAAGGTTTATATTCAAACCTTATCTTAGTATCTACTTGAAAAATACACATGAAACATACATGAATGATCTATATGAACAACTTATTACTGTGAAAGTTTCTTAATAGTCTATCTTTGAAGGGGTCCAAAAGTCTGAGACCACTTTGAAAATGTAGTATTTTTGCTATTACATAAACGGAATAAGTAATTTAGATAAAATATTTCCATTAATAAAATAAGGAAATTTGGCACCGATCTAACTTCTGGTACAAACGTTTAGATAACTGCTTTGTACGTTTTAAATGAAGGTTTCACTTAAATCTTTAAAATGTATATTAAATTAATTGTATAATGCAAATTAGAAACATCTTCATTGGTGGTCATAACATTATTTTGGCCTATACTGCACATTTAATTTCTTAGTGAGTTGCAGTTATAAAGTTTTAAAAGTAGTTAAAAAATGCTCTCAGTGATCTTATGCAATATATCAGTCATCTGTATGTTTTTATAAAAACATGAAAGTAATACAACAACGGCAGTGTGATTTGTGCCATATTGACACTGAGACTAACTTTTCGTTTAAGGAAATGATACCAAGGTTTATTGTTCTGGCATTACTGGAGGATAGCATGATAGACTCATGATAGCATCCATTACCATCTACAATGCTTGTCTGTTATCTAGGTAGATCAAATTCTCAACTCTTGACCTTTACTTTCTCAGCTTTTGTCCTCCAACCCTATGCTTTCTCTTTCTCTGTTTCTCTTTTGTCCTTTAGTATCTCCTGAACTGCTAGGTGTCCTGTCCTCCATTGCTGTCTTCATGGTCGTGATCGCTCTGTTTTTTCTTTACCTCAGCAGCAAGCTTTCAGTGGAGAGCCCAAGCAGTGAGCTGCCACATTTTGAAGGTTTTAACAAAGGTTTGCAAGGTAAATACAGGGTTTTCAATGAATGTGTACATGTGTATGGCTGTGTATCAAATCCTAGTGAGCAGACCCTCTAGCATTTCTAAGGTCCATCTAAAATTGTAAATAGAAAAAAAAAAAGGCTGCATGGATGCGCAGGGAGTTCTTGCCCAGAACGGAACCATACCGCCAATCCAGACTGTATGCTAATTGTCAGTAATCTTTGACGATAGTGGTCCTGACAGAAAACTATTTAAAATATGGCCAATTCTGATCAATCACCAATTTAGCGCAGGTGGAGCACGTTCAGATAATCAACTCAGTTAGCACGATAGTAATGCCGCGTTCCAGAAAAGGTCAGAAAAGAGAACATACGAGTTGAAAAGTCCCACTTTCAACTTCAGTGACCATCAACCTATGGGAATACGACACCTATCTAAGTATTCATATATAAGGTCCCTCAGTATTATCAGCAGTTTTCGCATTGCTCAATAGCTAATTACCCTCCTCCATCCCCAACTCTTCATCTGTCAGTCAGGATTCAGCCTTCTGATTCTCCTTTGAATCAGACTAATTCTAAAATGTGTACATAACATTATTGAACTTTAACGATATCTGCATACATTTATGTTGGTTCTGTTCTGTTTACCCTGGGGGGGGGGTTATAGCTGCTCTCCCTGCTATCATCCATGCTAGGCTGCATGGATGCGCAGGGAGTTCTTGCCCAGAACGGAACCATACCGCCAATCCAGACTGTATGCTAATTGTCAGTAATCTTTGACGATAGTGGTCCTGACAGAAAACTATTTAAAATATGGCCAATTCTGATCAATCACCAATTTAGCGCAGGTGGAGCACGTTCAGATAATCAACTCAGTTAGCACGATAGTAATGCCGCGTTCCAGAAAAGGTCAGAAAAGAGAACATACGAGTTGAAAAGTCCCACTTTCAACTTCAGTGAGTTCCAGTCAATCGCACATCACGTTAACATATTTCTGTCAATTACGGCAAAAAGAAGAAAAAAATAATAATACTGCCTTTGGTTTTGAAAACAGCTGACGAAAAGCTAAAATTAAGGTATTATAAACTTAATGTCTAATGTTTTTAAGTTTGACATAAGGTAGCTCCTTGGAACACTATGCTCGTTGGAAGCAGTGACGTCAAATGACGCTTTGTTGAGGTCGGGGTAGATCAATCTGCCCTGAGTTCACAGGTCGGATATCCGACTTCAAGCGGTGTTCCAGACGTTATTTCCAAGTAGGAGGTGGGGAAAATCCTAATTTTGAGTTGTCTGGAACGCAGCATAAGTATATATACAGCCAACTTACCATTATCCCACAAGAGTTTTTTGGCATGCATCCTCCACCCCAACTGCTCACTCCTAGCTATTTCTATCCCAGCTTGGGATATGGAGGAGTCCTCTGGGTTCGGGCTAAATTTAGAGCTCGGAGCCCTCCACTCGGACAGCATGTGAAATATTCATACTGTTTGCTCTATTTGATTATATGTAAGTGCGAACTCGTGAATTTTGGTTAGAACAGGGGTGTCCAATCCTGCTAATGGAGGGCCACTGTCCAACAAAGTTTAGCTCCAACCCCAGTTAAACACACCTGAGCCAGCTAATCGAAGTCTTACCTGGCATACTAGAAACGCCTAGGCAGGTATGTTGAGGCAAGTTGGAGCTAAATTTTGCAGCACAGTGGCCCTCCAGAACTGCGTTTGGGCACCCCTGGTTTAGAATGTTGGCCATATAGGCAGTAGATGTTAGCTCACTAGGTTTTAAAACACTTGTATGTCATCCTTGTTCCTTAAATAAGACATGCTTATAAACGAAATGTTACTGGTAAAAGATCCTAAAGATTAATTTATGAGCTGACTCTTCAACAGAATTTGTGGTCAGTTAGCAGACACACCAAAAGCACAAAGAAATGGCATTTTTCAAGAGCTTCCAACAGAGCCTTCCTTCTGTCAGTTCCCTCCTGGACACTGTCTCAAACACCGTCTCAACTGCCGTAGATGATTTGTCCTCTGCGGTGAGTGATGCCACCTACACTGTCAGTGACCAACTAACGGAGCAGGTCAATACAATCATCAACAAAGTACAGACCGAAGAGGATACTGAAGGTTCTTCAGAAGAAGTCCAAAATGAGAGGAGGAATAGCAAGCTGAAGCGTCAGGAGACAGAAGGTAATGCTGCAGACAGTGGAGAAGGAGAAGGTCGAAAAAGCCGAAAATCAAAAAAGAACTCTATGTGGACTATTGAAATAGTTGAAGAGGAAGTCCGGAGGGAGAAAGAAAGAAAAGCTGAGGAGGAGGAGTGGGAGTGGTGTTACGCTCCCTCTAAAGGTTGGTATCGTAAAAGGAGGGACCCAAACCAACCACAAGGCTCATCTCCGACCTCAGACAATCAGAAAGAGAACAGTGACCAAGCATCAAAAGAGGCAGAGTCTGTCACTCAGGAAGAGAATGCTTCCTCTTCTGGCAAACACAAGAATGAAGGTGACAACCACAATGAAAATGCTAATGGCATGGACCCAGGTAATAGTCAGGACTCTCAGGAAATTTCTGGTGATACTGATATATCAGTATCAAAGCATGAAAAGAATGGAGAGCACAATAGTGTTGAAGAAGATGGTACAGGCAGAAGAAAATACCAAGGAGGTAAAGGTGAGACTGTATGCTGGACTTGCCGTGTTGTGCTCTTCTGATGAGATGGATCTATATCACTGGTTCTCTTTGTTTTTCATCGCTCCCTTGATTCCACACTAGTTTTCAACCAAGGACACACGAATGAATCTTTCTCTTTATAATATTCGCTGTCTTACTCCTGACTAGGGCCGTCATAATGGGAGAACTACTAGGAAAATTGTCTTGTGACCAGGATGGCCCACTAGGGTTCTCTATGGTAGTGTTTCCCATCCCTGGTCCCTGAGTACCCCCAACCCAAAACCGATCTGAAAATATCAGAATACGTTAGATTTTTTCCAGCTTACATGTTCATAGGTGATATCCAATCTGTGCTGTATGGGAGAACAAAAAAACGTAATTGGGTCACTTGAACCATGTGATGTAAATGCGGCCATAATGTGCAGAGTTGGAGGTACTCTTGCTCAGACTTGTACCTGGAGATCTATCTTCTGGCATAGTTAACCTTCAACCCTAATCAAATACACTTGAACCAGCTACTGAAGACTTTCAGGAACACTTGATAGTTACAAACATTTATGTTATAGCCGGCTTGGAACTCTTTAGAAAGACAGATCTTCAAGAACAGGAATGAGCATCCCTGACCTAGTCATTGGACCAAGGAAAGATGGGGCAGAACTATAAAAATTGTGTCCCAGACCATGTGAATTTTATTGACGGCCCTGTTTTTACTGGTGTTTTCCTATTTATAGGTGAAGTGTGTAAAGTTTTCGCTGTTAAAATACTTTCATATCCAAATTTGACATTTAGAGATAACTTTAAGCCATTTATTGTCTGACATCTCGAAGAGTAAAACACTGTAGCCAACTTTTCAACTTCTAGCTCAACAAAGCATATCACTTTTGTGGTGGTGTTACCTGTTTGCTCAAACATTGGAAGTGGGTTCGGGGTGCGGTGAAGGTTTGAGTGTGCGGGAAACCTGTTTGGAAACAATAATTATTTTGTGTTTGATACCAGTAGTTTGTTTGGTACCGCCAGTGTCTCAGAAATTATACACTTCACCTTTAAAAATTCTGTTAGTCTCATGTTGTGCCAAACTTTGCTAAAGCTGTTTCTTTTGGAGTTTTTAAATACCGCATGCAAATACAAGCTTGTTGCAAGCATCTGGGGAGAATTTGCAAGATTATAAGTGATTAATTACTTAAATTTCTATCGCTTCTTTCTGTGTCTTTCGTCTTTTCTACTTTACATAAACCATCAAAGTGATTATGAAGACATTTTTGTGTGTGTGTGCTTTTTTATTCTTTTTGAAGCTGGTAGCTATGAAATCTAAAGATTCTTTAAATTTTTGTCTTAAAATACCAGCACATGGGTTTGAAATTATAAGGAAAAAAGAATAAGGACTTCTTCTCCTCTTTCATACAACTGGTCTGCAAAAGCTTTACTGTAAGATATTTAAGGGCATTTTTAGAATCTGAATTTGTAGATCTCCGCTCTTTCTTAAATGGGGGTTGTCCAGAAAAAGGATCATCTGAGAGCGAGGACGAAACAACAAAAAGACACAAGGACTCATCCTCTCATGATCAGAGAAATGGGTGGAGAGACAGGGATGCTGAGAATGAGGATTGCAGCAGTGAGGCCTCTGCTGATCAAGGTAAATATTGTACACTGTCTGTCTGATGAAATACTCTTAATTATTCTGTAATCAGGATGTAATCTTATTGCATTTCTGTCTCGCTATCCAGTTAAAAGGAAAAAAGGTTCAAGTTCCCTGAATGAACTTCAGCCTCCACCGTACCGGGACAAAGATGATCTCAAGGGTGGCTCAAGGGGCCGCAGTGACTCAGCAGAGGGCAGTGGAAGTGAGATCAGTGAGGACAGTGAAGACCCTGAAGACACAGAGAGTTACCTGAATAAGGGCTATGAGGAGGACGCACCTAGTGACAGCACAGCTGTTTTGGGCCCGGAGGTGAGCGATTCGGCCCATCGTTTCCGATGTGTTCTTCTATGAGAATCACGGCCCCACCTTTAGATTCACAGATGAAACTATCGAAATCTACAGTGTTGTTATGTCTCCAAGAGAGCTGTTCACTGCAGTTTATGTTGAAACAAATATTTGCAAATGTTTTTTTTTTTCTTGACAAATCCCATGTTTTTTGACATGAGATTTTTTTAAATTAATTTTGTTTTCTTTGAGTCAAAGTATGCAACGCCAAACTGATAAACAAGACACCTGTCATCCATTTATCTTTTTTCCCCATTCCTGTCTGTTTGGATTTCCATTCACTAGTGTCCATAGTGTCCTCTTTTTAGACCATTGTGAAGTAATATTTTCAGTTGATTATTAAAATTTCTTTTCATTGTAACATGAATGAGTCATATCACTGATGGTTTTAATTATGAGGAGCAAGGAGGACAGTTCAAGGATTCTCAGGCTGGGGTTTGGCTCATTTTGGCCACATCTGGTAAGTTTGACTTTGAGTTTGCCTGTAATTGGAGACACTGAAAGCCTGAATACTGACATATACTTCTCATACTATACGAGAAGCCAGGCTACTTCAGTGGGTGTTGTATCATGAGGAATCATATTGCTTGATCTATAGAGATAAAATATCATAGTAGAACGTTATGTCGATGATGACATTAGGGGTCTTACTTGGGAGCCCGAATCCTCTCTGATTAAGAGAAATCGCCAATGAAATTTGGCTAGTGGATTTTGCATACCTGAGCCACTCCCCGTGCATATGGGTATAAATAGGCGACAGGTGCATCCACTCATCAGGTTTTATGCTGAGGAGCCAAGAACTTGTCCCTGGCAACCAGCGATGGTTCGAGGTTGTGGCATAGGGACATAACGTCTCCGTTCCCTCCATCAGGGAACGAGGGTTACATACGTAACCGAGACGTTCCCTATCTGTCGGTCACTTCAAGTTATGTCGATGACGACATTAGGGGTCCATGGAAAGCACCACAACCTGAACCCCGTCACAACCCAATGGCATTGCAAATGTTGACAAGCAGCCGCTTGTAACGGGGGTGGCCACCCTAGCATAGAAAAACTTGTTAAAGAATGTTCGGGCGCCAGTCAGGATTAATCCTGACAAAAATGTTTTAAATTAACCCAGGATAGCTAGAAAAGGAAACCACCTGTTACAATATTAAATAAAAAGTCAGAGAAAACTCTGTTCACAAGGGAGATTTATTCCACAATGTCCATGAAAAAAGAAAAAAAACTTGTCTGAACAATAAGAAACAAAAGAAGAAAAAATAAGCGGAGGAAAAAAAAAACAGTTCAGCACTTTAGTTCAATTCCAGTTTGAAATCCGTGTAGTAATTGCGTCACACTAATTCACTTTTACACCACGGCAGATTCACGTCCACTGTACAATCATTTATAAATTGTCCATAGAAAAAAAGAGGAAAAAAGAAACATTAAATAAACATTTTGTTCATTTCATAGTTATGGAATAACATCAAACAACAATCTTAAAGCAACAATAACCATTGAACAATCATGGAAAACAATAAGCACACCGAATGTGCTTATTGTTGAATGTGCTCGGGTGAATGTTATGTGAGTGCGTCTGTGTGTAGTATTGAGTGAATGAGTGTGTGCACTGGCGGTGTAGAGGTACTGACCAAGTTTACAGTCTTTAAGGAAGCTGGAGAGTGTATCGGGTTGTTATCAGACACCAGGACAGGTGGATAAGCAGCCGACACTTGTCTTCAGGACAGCCTTACTAAAACCAGACAATCTTGAAGTGCACGCTTTAAAAGTCAAGTGAAACTGCGACGCACCAGACATCGCTCACAGGAAGCAACAGTTCGACAAGCGGCCGTCTTTCCACTTTGCACGGTAATCCAATCACTCTCACTACTGCAAACCTTACTGAGGACGCAATCACTCTCGGGTATGACTTACATCCTTATATCCTCCTTCCTTCCGCCGTTAATTGAAATACTCCACCCCAATCACGCAAAGTGAAAACAAAAGTAAACCGAAAAGATGTTGTGGCCCAAAGTTTTTTTGCACTGCCACACGCGTGTCAGACAAATGCTGCACAAGGGTCGTAACCTTCCCACCGCCCCAGCTCAAATTCACTGACCTTGGTACCCACAGGGACCAAAGGTTAGTACATCGCTGCTGGTGACAGAAATCCCTTCTTAACAGAAAGGATTTCGACCTTCAATGAAGGATTGCTTCAAGTCTTTCTAAGTGAAGTGAAGTGACGTGACATGTGGCCAAGTATGGTGACCCATACTTGGAATTAGTGCTCTGCATTTATCCCATCCAAAGTGCACACACACAACAGTGAACACACACACACCGTGAACACACACCCGGAGCAGTGGGCAGCCATTTTTGCTGCGGCGCCCGGGGAGCAGTTGGGGGTTCGGTGCCTTGCTCAAGGGCACCTCAGTCGTGGTATTGAAGGTGGGAGAGAAGGTGTACATTCACTCCCCACACCTACAATCCCTGCCGGTACGAGACTCGAACCCGCAACCTTTGGGTTACGAATCCGACCCTCTAACCATTAGGCCATGACTTCCCCATATTTCCTATTTGTTGTTACAGCTTGGCAGTAACGGTGGGGAAGCGAGCCTTCCAAAGAAGGGCGCAATGGAGGCCACATCCTACCCGTAGGGAGGTATCATGTGGAGACACTGATATGGACTGACCCAGGCCTGGGGCAGTACTACATATGGAATTGTCTCTGAGGCAGGTTTTTACCTGACAGCACGGATGGAACGACTGCCAGCAAAGACTGACAGAACGATTTGTCAAAGGGAAGTCAAGTCACCTTTATTTATATAGCGCTTTTAACAATACAGATTGTGTCAAAGCAGCTTAAAGCCTCGTGCACACCAGGACGATTATCGCGCGCGCTTATCGCCAGTTTTTTCGACGCGTCTTGTGTGTTCATCCCCAAGCGGTTTTCACTGGCGATGAGCCATTCCCTGACATTAGATGGCGCTTAATGAAAAACAGAAATACCCCAGTACACATTGAATCCTATTTGGTCTGCAATTCCTCTCCATAACAACTCCCTCTTATCATATTTTTGTAGGACTTCGCTGTCGCATTTGTCATAAAGCTCTTTGTGTTCAGATACCAATGAGACCAGCAGCTCTACATTCATCTTGCCTCGATGCTTCTTCTTCATCTACTTACTTCCTCTTCGTCGTTAGGTATCAATTGTGTGCTCGGCAAGACTGTTTTGTGCTTGAGCGCCACCAAGTCGTGTTTTACTGTAACTTCAGTAGCTTCAGGCATGTGAACAAAAGCACCAATCTCATTGGTCGGTTTTTAACGCGGTGTGTCAAACCAAAAAAATTAGCCCGAGGCGTTTTTTTTTTTTTTAAATGACGCTTTTACACCTGCCGTTTTGCGCGCCGGTGTGCACACTCACATTGGTGCCCTTTGTTTAGTTACGAGGTGTTAAACGTCGGCGATAATCGCGCGCAATAATCGTCCTGGTGTGCACAAACCTTTACAGTAGCAAAATAGGAAAATAGTGTGTCAGTGCAAAAGGGCAATAGTAAACACTCACGGCCAGCGCTTCCCGCTACTTACCTGTTACACAACACTGGAAGAAACTGGCTCAAAGCGGAGACTGTAAAATCTCACGAAGGTGTTCGGTGTCGCCCAGCCCGCAGCTCAACAGATGTCTACCAGAGAGGCGCCGTGCGCCAACACATAGGAGGAAGCAACGCTCCATATGGAGTGAGCCCTCACCCCCAGGGGGCACGGATAGTCTTGGGATTGGTACGCCAAGGTGATGGTATCCACTATCCAGTGGGCCAACCTATGCTTGGAAACAGCCTCTATGAGGGCAGTGCTTGCAGGTTCACCACCTGATCGCGAAAATGTGAGAGTAGGCCGGCCCGAACACAAGGCACTCTTCGCTCACTGATAATGCTTGGAGGTCCCTGACCCTCTTGATTAGACTGAGTGCGGTCAGGAGCGCTGTCTCTTAGCAGACATGAATTTAAGCTCGACTGAATCCAGTGGCTCAAAGGGACCCCTCTGAAGTCCAGCCAGGACGATAGAGGGTGACCTAGGAGCATGTAACTTTCTGGCACCCCTCAGGAACCTGACGATGAGATCGTGCTTTCCCAGGGACCGGCTGTCCACTGCATCTTGATGTGCTGCGATAGCAGCCACATACACTTTCAAGTTGGAGGGTGACAGCGTATGCTCCAACCTTTGCTGCAGGAAAGAAAGCTCTACTCCAATTGCGCATCTTCAGGGGTCTTCTCAGCGAGAAGAACAACAGATCGCGAACAAACTCCACTTCAAGGCAAAAGCTCGCCTCGTAGAGAGGGATATGGCCTGAGTGATAGTGCCTTCCACCCCGGGTGGGAGATCACTTCGGTCTGCCGCGTCCCGTGATCTGGACACGGGTGCCAATGGTGCCGAACCTCTGAGAAAGAAGGTCCTTCCTCAGAGGGATGCGCCAGGGAGGGACTGTCACGAGGAGCATGAGTTCCGAAAACCAGGTCCGGGTGGGCCAATACGGCGCAACCAGCAGGACCTGTTCCTCGTCCTCCCTGAACTTGTACAGTGTCTGTGCGAGAGGGCTCACTGGGGGAAACGTATACTTGTGTAAAGCCCGAGGCCAGCTGTGTGCCGGTGTGTCCGTGCCGAGGGGGCCTCGGTCAGGGAGTCATACAACTGGCAGTAGGAGGACTCGTGGGAGGCAAACAGGTCTACCTGAGCTTCCCCAAATCGACTCCAGATCAGCTGGATCGTCTCGGGATGGAGTCGCCATTCTACGGGGGATGTGAGCTGTCATGAGAGCACATCAGCTGCACGATTGAGGATGTGGACAGCACGCAGTGACTTGCGCCATGTCTGACTCCAGAGGAGGAGATGGCGGGCAAGTTGTGACATGCGACGTGATCGTAGACAACCCTGCCAGTTGATGTACAAAACAGTCGCAGTGTTGTCCGTGCGGACGAACACGTCCTTGCCAAGCAGCAGCGGCCGGAACCGCCGCAAGGCTAGTAGCACTGCCAGCAACTTGAGGCAGTTGATGTGCCAAAGCAGTCAAGGCCCTGTCCAGAACCCTGGGGCTGCCTGCCTGTTGCATGTAGCGCACCAGCCCGCACTGGAGGCATCCGTTGTTACAACGACATGCTGAGACACTTGTTCTAAGGGCACTCCGGCCCATAGAAAGACAAGGTCCGTCCAGGGGCTGAATGAGCGGCAACACGTTGGCGTGATGGTCACGCGAACTGTACCGCGGCGCCATGCCCATCTCGGGACTCGGGAGTGTAACCAGTGCTGAAGCCGATCGGCATGACTGCAGCTGCGGATGTCATATGCCCCAGGAGCCTCTGAAAATGTTTCTTAGGCAGTTCAGCACGGACCAGGCACGCTTGTTGGTGAGACGCGCCGTTATACTCACAGAGTCTAACTCCATACTGTTAAAAGAGATTCTCTACACAGGGGAGGGCTTGCTCTTTTCCCAGTTGACCCGAAGCCCCAACTGGCTGAGGTGCCGGAGCAAGGGCGCCCCCCGTGACTTTCGACTAAAGACACAGGGGGACAGGGAAAGCCCGAAGGGGAGGACCCTGTACAGCCATGCCCGACCCCCGAACGCAAACCGTAGGAACGGCCTGTATCGAGGAAGAATCGAGACATGAAAGTAAGCGTCCTTCAGGTCGACCGCTACAAACCAATCCTGGGGCTGGATGCATCTGATGATGCGCTTCTGTGACAATATCTTGAACCGAAGCTGTGAAGGGCCCGATTCAAGACTCACAGAACCAGGATTGGCTGAAGGCCACCGTCTTTCTTGGGCACAATGAAGTAAGGGCTGTAAAAGGACCTGAAGGACCGCACTGTGACCTTCGGCGCCCGGAGAGCGAAGTCGGTCTACCCTCGTGCATTTGTTTGAGTGCCTTGGCTTGGTGAACCTGCAGGATCGCCATGGCATGCAGGGCAGAGGTGGCTTGGCCCACAGCACTATAAGCTTTGGCGATGAGATGACGGAAGACGAGAACGATTCCTCCAAGTGGTGGCGTTTTGCGGGCACAGGTGCACTGCAACCGCACTCTCCACCTGGGGAATGTCAACGTACCCCCTAGCCACTCCGCCATCGAGGGTAGTGAGGATGGAGGAGGCAGACGAGCGGCTTCCAGCCGGAAAAAGGGACTTCATCAGCTCCTCATGCACCTCCGGGAAGAATGGAACCGGGGCAGGGCGTGGTCGCGAGCCACGACCCGTGCCGAGGAACCAATCATCCTGGACTGGGAGGTGTGCACGCCTCCAGCCCAATGCTCACGGCAGCCTGGGAAAGCATGGCCGTCACTCTTGGTCCGATTCGGCGGTGGCGACAACACCCGAAGGGGGGCAGCCCCGCTGAATCATCATCCTCAGAGGCCGATCGCCCATCCCCCCATGCTGCGATCGACATCTACATGATCGACATGATCCTCTATCGGCGCACCGAATGAAACGCTGGGCATGCCGCGACACGGCACAGCAGAATCACCGGGGAGCCGCACAGAACAGCTGCTGTGGGAGGAGTGAGAGGTCCACGGGGACTGGCCCAGTGGAGAGGCTCTCACTGTAACCCTCAGATCGCCCAGAGCACTAGCCTATGGTTCTCTGCTCATGACAGAGGAAGCCCCTCCCATCCCCGTGAGGAGAGAGAGGCGCAATCACAGTACTGCCATGGTCACATGCTAAAAGTAAACGCATGAACCATCCACGAACACAGATTCAGAGTGCTGGATGCCCAGACACTGAAAACAACTATCGTGGCCGTCGACGGAGGACAGGAAACAACCACAACCAAGAGGACACGGACGGAATGTCTTTAAAAAGATGCGAGCCATCCATGATCAGAAACTGCTCTATTAGATGAAGCACCCAGGGGAATCGCTGAATTAAGAGGGACGGCGCTGACTGTGCCATAACGCCACCCAGAACAGCCTCTTCTTCCAGCAGCAAAGAGAATTCGCCTGGTGAATCTCGAACTGTGTTCATTCACTCAGCTACGAAGCAAAAATCTGATGAGTGGATGCACCTGTCGCCTATTTTCGGTATGCAAAATCCACTAGCCAAATTTCATTGGTGATTTCTCTTAATCAGAGAGGATTCAGACTCCCAAGTAAGACCCCTAATGTCGTCATCGACATAACTCGAAGTGACCGACAGATAGGGAACTTACTTCCCAGTCCAAACAGAGCTTTAATTGAAACTAAGCTGCAAAACAGCACATTCTAAACTTTAATAACTTTATGATGTAAAATTAATACATTTCAAAACATGACCGTCAACATACCAATGATGACTATTTATTTAGTGTTTCGAAACTTTTCGTGTTCATTTTACTATTGTAAAATGGAAAGTCAGCCAGACTTTTCACTTCTCCTGCATCTGTGTAGCACCTGCAACTCAGCATATCTTTCTGAAGGCTCCTAACAATGGAAAAGACCTGCTAACCTTTATTCTTAACAAGTTTCCTGATCATTTATGTCCAATGTTTATAGTTTATTTCGGTGTGGATTATGATACGCTTTCACAATATGATACAAGACTAAATGGGCAGATTGGAAAACAGTCATAAAAAGTAAACTATGACATCAAGAAGAAGAAGATAACTAAAAAAATCTGTGATATGGCCTCCTTAATGATCTTTATTGTACCACCTTGTCACCAACACAGGCAACCTCAAGAATTTTGAGCTGTTCATTTTAAATGCAGATGCATAATTTACAATTTCTGAACCCTCCATTTCCTCTATCCCACCTGCCCCGTCTCTCCCTTTCTCTGACAGGATAGCTTACTTCCACCCCTTCCAGAAACATATGAACCAGAGGCACTGGGGAAATACGGCACACTGGATGTGGCATTTGAATATGACCCTAGCGAACAACGGCTTGCGGTGACAGTGACCGCTGCCACAGATATTCCAACCCTTAAGAGCACAGGGAACATTTCCTGGCAGGTCCACCTGGTTCTACTGCCCAACAAAAAGCAGAGGGCCAAGACAGGAGTGCAGAAGGGACCCTGTCCCATCTTCACAGAGACATTTCGCTTCTCATGTGTGGAGAAGGAGGCCTTGCGGGACTATGCAGTCCGGTTCCGTCTCTACAGTGTGAGGCGCATGAAGAAGGAGAAGGTCCTAGGGGAGAAGGTGTTCTACTTAACCAAACTCAATCTGCAGGGCAAGCTTGCTCTGCCTGTTACTCTAGAGCCTGGCACATCTGTTCCTGTAAGCAGTGTTTGTGTGCATGCAGTATACATTGTCCATAGCCAATCCGATTTCAGAGTCAGAATTATCCATTTTATAATGGTAATCCTTTAATGTCACTATTCTTCAGGGCTGTGGGTCAGTGGTGAGTGTCTCTCGTAGTGCGGGAGCTCTGTCATACCGCTCCACTGGTGAATCCTCCACTCCAGAGCTTCTGCTGGGTCTCCTCTACAACTCCAACACAGGAAGATTGTCCGCCGAGGTTATCAAAGGCAGCCATTATAAAAACTCTGCCACCGATAAACTGCCCAGTAAGAAATCCACGTGTCCACCTGCACAATCCTCTTAAAAGCAAACCTGTTTCATGCATGTGCATTCTTAATGCTTTTTCTGTGTTCTGCTTGTGATTTAACTGCTCTTGTTTTATCTGTCAACTCTATTTTCTATCACATTCCTTTTGTCTGTGTCCTGTCTTGTAGTTGGTCTGTTTTGTTGTGTAAAACACTTCATTAGTGGGCAACTGTATATCATGAGAGGTAAGTTTACTGCCATGTCGAAAGTACAAAACCACCCATTCCACTGCGTCTGCATTTTATTGATGTTGTGTGTTCAGTCAAGTCTCTTTGCACTGTATTGAGATGTACAGAGATATGCGGGTAGAATCCTATAGAATACATTTAAACAGTTTTGACAATAGTCAGTCAATAGTAAATGAACACCATGTCTTGCTGGAAGAGTAATACCATTAGTAGCCCTTCAAAGACATGTCAATAAACCCAAAGTCAGCAAACCAAGGGGTTAAGGTTTGGCTAGTTATTATGGTCCTGCTAGCCACTGCTGGACAATATTTACCTGTGGCTCTAGCTCTAGAATCATGTCACATGGCTTTTATGAGTAATTTGATTGGCTCAGCACAATTTGGTTGCAGAACACAGTGCCCATGAGCTGCAAGGAGCAAAGATGGCAGATTTTTAATCACATTCTTCAGGGTCCCAAGAAACTGCCATCAAGAAGAATGAGAATGCTAACAGTTAGAATTAGCCAGAGCATGCAGAACATTCAGTAATATCTATTAGTTGGTAGAGACATAAGGGACATGTATGAGTGGTTAACAATAACTATCTCACCAGTGGTGAATCCCAGTTTGCATACTTATTATAATTCTTCAACTTGTACTAACTGCATACTGCAATGGTGATGTCAAAGAAAGTTCAACTTTTTTACTGCCATTCTGGTTGTTAGTATCTCGCTAACTTTACTAACCTTAAAAAATCATAGTGATTTAATGTTCATACATGTAAACACTGCAAAGGGAGCTTTGCCTTGAATTCATTGATCATAGTTCAACAAAGCAAATGCTCGTTACAAACCTCTGAGAACACTTTTGTTGCACAAAGCATTACACAGTGTTAGTTCAAAATGCATTCATAAAATTATACTTTGCAGATCCACGAGAAACAGTGTTATCTGGGTGCTGATTGCCAGTGTGCTCTGATTTGGCCAATATTTACCCAGTATCTCCATGGCTATGCTTGGAGTAGTATACTATCATGCTACGTTTACTATTGATGCAGTATAGAGTATGTATACTGTGCACTGCATTAAAATTAAGGTTGTGGCTAGAAGAGATACGGCTAAAACCAGAAGCTAACAATAACTTATGTTTTCTACCTATTAGATTGTTTTATTAACATCTACTCCTACCCCAACCCTAAATCTACCCCTTACAATAATGCAAAAACAGTCATTATTGCTGTACAGTGTGACAGTGTGCATGCTCAGTTGACAAATCTGTATACCATCTAGCCTTAACCGAAAATTAATGTGTGATGAGGTCGCATGATAAACATTGTGAGGTCACGTGATGATATGGCATACTACTATAATCAGTGGCGGCTCGTCGGGGGAGGCAGGGGAGGCACAGCTTCCCCATAATTTTGAGGTGAAAATGGGAGGAGGACGATTTAATGTTAATAAAATTCACAATTCATTTCCGTTCATTTCTCAGAATGTGTATTTTTTGTTTGTAATTTCAGTTGTAATATCATAACGTGAAAGCGCCGCTTTTCTATCGCGAATGTGCCGAATCTCCTGATGTAATTACAACCGCTAGGTTATAGAGAAGGGGAGGGGGCGGCCGGGGGAGCGCTGAGCTCTCGTGCCCCCGTTGGTAAAAAAAAATTTATAGGCTACAGCAGTCGGCTTAATTAAATGGCGCAACAGGCAGCTCTCTTTTAACACAGACTTTTAAGAAGGGATGGATGTTTGCTGCAAGTGATAGGCCAGGTAAGTGAAATTATATTATCTTGCTGTATGCATGTCGTTTTCTTTACGTTTTCTGACTAAAAGCAACCAAAACGTAATTTTAAAGTGGTTAAGCAAATAATATAATAATAATAATCGGCAGGGATCCCAGACTAATACAATTAGTGTGCCTCCTCTATTTTAAAACCCACGAACCGCCACTGACTATAATGTTTGTCATGGAATAACGTTTCACTAACTGTTTCACTGTAAAAAAAGTAGAATACGGTATACTGTATGGTATTCAATAAGTAGTAAGACACTATTCCTTTCTGAACATAGCCCATGTGTTTGACTTGGTGCATAAGCTCACCATCACCAGGTGGTGCTAACCCACTGTTTCCCTTCCCTTTCCATCAGACACTTACGTGAAGCTTACAATGCTGGACTCCAAAGGGAAAGAGATGTCCAAATGCAAGACCTCCGTATGCCGTGGCCAGCCCAACCCAACCTACAAAGAGACATTTGTGTTCCAGGTGGCGCTATTCCAACTGTCCGAGGTGACCCTGCAGGTGTCGGTGTACAGTCGGCGGAGCAGCATGAAGAGGAGAGAGCGGGTTGGCTGGGTCACTCTGGGCCTCAACAGCACCACGGAGGATCAAGAGGAGCACTGGACCCAGATGAAAGAGTCAGAGGGCCAGCAGGTCTGCCAGTGGCACACCCTCCTCGATTCTTAGGGGTGCAGGGAAACAATGCAATGCGGTTTGTGGTCATCTGAAGGTTTAGTAGCACAATATGAGTACAAATTAAGGGATTTGTTCACACTAAATTGAAAGTTCTGTCCTAATTGACTCCTTCATGTTGCTCCGAGCCTATATTACTTGCTTTTTTCATGAAACATCATCTATCATATGGCTTCAAAAGACAGGCAACTTGTCATTTTTGAAGTTTGACAGCCCTTATTTACTATCTTTATATTGAAAAGCATTCATGTTTTGTGTCCATGGAAGAAAGAAAGTCATAGGCGGTTTAGAACGGCATGAGGGTGAGTAAATAATGACAGAAGAGTGATTTTTTAGTGAACTATTCCTAAAGTATTGAGTGCAAAATGTTTGAAAAAAACTGCTAAATTTTTTGGGCAAATTAGGTCAATTTTTTATCATCAATAGCGTAGCATTGCATGAAGCACAGCTTACTCAGCAGTTACTTCCGAAACATGCAAAAAACATTGCTGCAAATTTGTCTGTTAAAATTTCAAGAACTTCACTCTGATGTGAATGAAATACGCATGGGGAAATTTTCACACCATGTGTCATTCAAATGAAATTCCCAATTGCATCGATTACTACTGAGTCGACTGCATTTTGCCCCCGTGGAATTCCTCCTTAAAGTGATAGTTCACCCAAAAATGAAAATTCTGTCATGAATTACTCACCCTCATGTCGTTCCAAATCTGTAAGACCTTCGTTCATCTTCGGAACACAAATTAAGATATTTTGGTGAAATCCGAGAGCTTTCTGACCCTCTATAAACAGCAATGCAACTACCACGTTCAAGGCCCAGAAAGGTAGTAAGGACATCATTAAAATAGTCAAAGAAAACAAAACTTTTACTTTTAAAAAATGGTTTTAATACTTTTAAACTGTCAATAATAGTGTCTTCTCTTCCGTGTCAGTCTTCGACACGCCTGCACATGCGTGTGGTGGTGCTGCAGCGTTCTGACGTAGACATCCATCTCTCCTAGTTCATCGTCTGTATAGTCTGGTTCAAATAAGGCTTGGCAAAAAAATTGAAAGTCATCCTCTATCGAAATCTTCAGACATGTATACGAAGACTGTTTTATGTAGAGCGTACAGCTTCCTCTGCTTGTAAATAAGGTGCAGCGTATGCGCATTCGAAGTCAACGCGGGCTCCTGCGTCAGCAGCATCACACATGTGTCGTGGTACTGTCGTGAACGCGCGTCGAAGTCTGACACGGAAAAGAAGAAATTGTTGAATAAAGTCGTTATTTTTATTTTCTTTGCACACAAAAAGTATTCTTGTAGCTTCGCAAAATAACGGTTGAACCACTGATGTCACATGGACTATTTTAACAATGTCCTTACTACCTTTCTGGGCCTTGATTTCATCAGAAATATCTTAATTTGTGTTCCGAAGATGAATGAAGGCCTTACAGGTTTGAAACGACATGAGGGTGCGTAATTACTAACAGAATTTTCATTTTTGGGTGAACTATCCCTTTAAAGTTAAATGTGGCCGCATCTTAATTTGTACTGTAGAGGAATCCTCCATGTTGGAGGTGCTGTTGACTTCTTAGAAAGACTGTGTTCCTCAGGATAGCAGTAATGGACCTGCTGTTTTTTGCAGTGTTGGGATGGGAAGGCCGGAGACTGACTGAAAAAGACGCCTTATGATGACAATAGAAAACTGAACTACTGCCATTGGCACTGCCATCTATACCAATTGTTTATTCCCATCAAAGCATAACTGCAACTGTACTGTATTATTGGCAGTTGCAGAAGCATTCAAATTGAGGTTTAGCCTTTGTACTTGACTTGCAAATATGCAAATACAAATATGCACTGCATGGTAACAGCTAAAGCAGCAAGAGAAACATTCAGAATAAATATCGGACCAAAGCGCAAGACCATAAACCTAATTCTGTTTTATGAAAGGATATAGGGACTATATCACACCAGCAATATTGCAGAAATATTTCAAATGAAAATGTACAAATAGTAGGGCTGCTGAAGACTGTCTAAATGCATCTAATTACAAGTAACCAATGTCTAAATGTAACTGATGCAAATTTGAGTAATTTAACTTATGATTTTGTCATCTGTTTTCATATTGTGTAAGCAAATGCTGCATCATGCATATGTTAATGCTGATTCAGGTTCATTTTTAATCTTTGGAAACTATACATTTAATAAAATCTAAATTTACAAACATGTATGCAATCATTACTAATGTTATGGGCGTCAGTATGGTAGCTTGGAAAAACTGATAATAATGACATTCAAATGTATGCTTTCATACTTTATGGAGAATTTATGTGTTTTTAGAAATATCTCAATGCAGTTTGGAAGGACTTAACTAAACTAAGAAGAACTTGGTTGTTCATCATGCTCAGTCATGTTTAATTTCATCACTTCTGCCAACAGACCGGATGTGGTTTGGCAACAGCAGATAGAGACATTCTGTGAAAAAAAAACAAAAAAAAACTTTTTATCAAAATTGGCATTGAAAACAAAACCTAGTACAAAAAATATATACAAATGATAATCAAAGAGTCAAACAAAGGGCAAAATTCTTAAGCAAAATCCATCAATCAGGTGGTAAGATCAAGTTACGTCCCATAACACATCCTCCACAAATCTTTCAAGAGGTGGCAATTTTCTGGAAGCCTGAGTAGGTGCTTCCTCAGCAGGACAATGCTTAAAATGCTTCCCAAGTGCAAGATGAACCTAAGAACAGCAACAGAACCGTTACAGCATTCAAGACAGAAAATATGCTCAGAATTTAATCTACAATATTACTCCTTGGCATGTTGCAACGTACGACGTTTGCTAAAATGTTCAGAACAACACTGTGTAGGACACTGAGTCCTACAATGCAGTGTGTTCTGCAACTTAACCATTAATTTCCAGTTTGACTGGAAATATACTGGAAACACTATCAGCTCTTTTCTAAATAGTCTTTTCTAAATTTTCAAATTTTTGCACCAAATTGGATAAAATAACCATTTTTATCTCATAAATTATGATAATAACTGGATTAAAACTCACTGATTTATAGATACAAGAGGTCATGTGCCAACATTACAGCATTATTTTCATACGGGTTCACAATCTATTTTCAAAGGGATGTTCCAGGTTCAGTACAACTTAAAGGTGATGCATGTCATTTTATATGTTAAATTACCTTCTATTCCAGCTATATATGGATATAGACACATATGCACACAATATCAACTGAATATTAAACTGAACATGGTGTAAAACACTGATGGTATCAAAGCATTGCTCTGTTTGTTTCGGCATCCCGACACAGCAATATCGGCTCAACCAATAGCGTGAGTTTGGGGCAGGACAATCTGGTTATCTGACCAACCCAGGGGTAATGTTTGGGAAACCTTTTTGAAAACGGTCATTATTATTCCAACTCCTTTGCTGGAACTGAAGAAGCTTAAGGTGTAACCAGGAAGACTACTTTAAAAATAGTGGTTTAATCTGTCCGTACGGCACAGTTAGCAATACGCTAGTATTCCATTCCAAACATATCCCAGGATTTCTCCTAGCTGTCATTTTGATGACAAATCCAGAGAAAGAATGAAAAACCCATGGTTAAAACCACAGTAACACACCCAAACTTTCCAACGTCTGTGAAGGAAATCGGTTTCATTTCCTCTGCCAACCCTCACATCCTTATCTTGGTCACAGACTGGCTGCACAACCCTGTGTGATACCTGAATGCCTTTCAATACTGCGGAAACCAATGAACACTTTTGCAGCTTGATTTAGGTAGAGAAAGTGCAACATTCTTTGGTCTTGAAATGTCTTCGGAGGTCTTCACATGCTCCTCCTTGTGTCACCTCAGCCATAGTGTCCTCCTCCTCATCTGAAAAATCATGATTTAAAGCAGTGCTGAATTTTTTAGGTCTCGTAGATCAAACTCTTTGTCAAGCAATGCTTTTTCTCCTCTCTAACAAATGGTCTTCTGATACTTTGGACACTGAGAATCTTGATCCTCCGTTGCTGGTGGTAAGGGTAGGGCTTCGAACAGGGCTCTGAAAGATTGATGGGTCTGATCTTCTGGAGTTCCCTGCACAACATCCAGGCTTCTCTTCTCTCTTATTTTTAGTGTCTCCTTGGTGCTCTTTCAGTAGGGTCTGTTCCTCTTGGTTGTTGTTGTTGAGGCAATCCGTTGACTCCCCAGACGTGACCATGCACATGTTCGCGCTGACGCTGAAGCGGCGTTTCAGACGAGGAGAGTGATCGAGTGGGATGACCAGGCCGTGCAATAGGTCACTACAGCTCTTGGACCGTGCCAGTTCCTCCTCCTGCTGCTTTTTCTTCCTTCTCTTATCTGCTCCGATGGCTTGGATAACATCGCTGTAGTCTTCAACCTTCTCAGACATGAACTGAAAGATGTCAATGATGCCAGAGAGAGGTGTTGGCTTTGGGACTTTTTTTACTTCTTTTTTTACCGGTACATCATCGATGGACAGCCTGTGGCGTCTCAGCCTTCTTTTCTTCAGGACTTTATGAGCCTCGACCACCATATGCACATTCCAGCTGAAGAAAAGTGACAACCAGGCAAGACCCAGGCAGATCCATAACTGCACAAAGAATTTGTAGAGTGTTGGGTAATCTTTATCTGGGTTCACACCTATACGGAGAAACAAAGTGAATTTCCTTTATTCAACATAACAAGCCAATAGTTGAATTTGCCTATCTAGAGCTATTTTTAGCTGTTTTTAAGCAGTATATGTTTATACAGAATCACAATCACAGGAAACGATGCATCATAAGTTGGTTCACGTGTACAGCGGACAGAAAGATGCAAGCCGAGAGATTTGCACCAAGCTAAATTCAGCAACAAGCTAAATTTTCTATTTTCAACGTACGCCTTCTCTCCACTGTGCTCAAGGTATAGTTTTTTTTAGACTTTATAAATCCCAAAGACCACCAAATTTGATGAATACTCACTCAGCTATTTTCATGTACACAGAATGTCGTACTGTGTATGGAAAATAGTAAGCAGGGTTATTATAGTTAACTAAAACCATAAATAAATGTTAATTGAAATAATTGTTAATTGAAATTAAATAAAATTCAGATTTCAGATAGTTTCCAAAGCAACTTGATGTACTAAAATAACCAAAACTGAAATAAAAATGTATATAAACTATATTTAAAAACAACAAAAACTAATGAAAATGACAATACCACACAACAAAACTACTAAAACTTTAAGTAAAATTAACATGAAAAGAAAAACAAACAAATTAAATCTAATTCAAAATATTAACAAAAACTATATCTAAATTATACTAAAATTATATGTATAGTAAGTATACTATTATAAATAAAGACAGCATGTTTGCTAATTAAATATTTAGCTTTTATTTGACTTTGTACTGAAAACCATAATAAATTATTGAAATATTATCTGGAAAATATTTTTTATTTTAAATGTATATTGTTTTTACTTTATTTATTTATTAAGTTAACAGTGTATCCTTTTCAAGCCAATATCAACATTTTCAAGAAACATTTTCAAAATAATTAAAATGTATTTTCACATGTTTAATTAGAATCAGATTCAGAAAGAGCTTTATTGCCAAGTGTGTTTACACACACACACAAGTAATTTGTCTTGGTGACAGGAGCTTCTAGTGCAGAAAGTACAGACATGCATATAATTTAAGGTAATGAAATATAACACTAACAATAAAGAGAATAAACAAATTAATAATACAAATTTAAATATTTTTAAATGATGTTCCTATGCAGCTTTATAGGGAAAAAAAGTGTCATATTATTAGTTAGGCAGTGGTGATGAAAACATCTATGTCTTGCTGTTAAATGTATAAAAATACATTTAGCACGTTTTTTTAATTTGTCAAATTTTCCTCAGACCACAAAGCACTTTTTTGCAATCTCTTTGTGGTTCCCGGACCACAGTTTAGTATAAGCCCTACGCTCCCTTACTCACATTTTCTTCAGCACAAATGTTCAAATCTATTTGCAATTGTTCAGTTACCTGCTACATAGTCACCAAAACCAACAGTCGTCAAGGTGGTGAAAGAGAAGTACAGGCCTTCTAAGTAAGTCCAGTCCTCAAAGTGACTGAATACAAAGGCTGGGAAGATCAAGTGAACCAGGAAACCCCATAAAAGGAATACAACTGTGCAGGTGAACTGTACTTTTTTCTGTAGTGAAAGAGAAACATGAATAGGGGTGTTAATAATATTGTTTGTCTCTTTGAAAAGTGAAGGCTTTGTTAATGGTGTTCTTACCACAGTGAAGCTTCTGTGGAGGAGCACCTGACTCAGGCGCTTTGCCCTGCCACCAAAAAATGTACCCAATTCACTTATCCAGGTGAGGCAAAGAGGAATGCCACAGAGCCCATACAGGATACAGAATAAACGGCCTCCAGTTGTCTTTGGCGCAACATTGCCATAACCTGAAATCATCGAGTAGACAATCTGTGTAAAATATTTTTATATTCTGTCTAAAATTAGATCATTAGGTATGGAAGCCTTTTTTCTCCACAATCAATCAATCAATCAATCAATAAAGGTAACCGATTTTTTTTGTAATCATATTTTTTAATCATACATTACCATTTTTTAAATCAAGAAATCATACTTTTTTTTCTCAGAATTGCAAAAAAGCGTCAAGATTTATGAGATACAATCTCAGAATTGTGAGACATAGCTCAAAATAAGATGCAAGACATAAAGTCTCAATTTTGAAGTCCAAATTGTGAGATATAAATCCATAAACCCATTGCAATTGTTTTTTTTTTCTTCTCAGAATTGCAAGTAAACAGGTCTAAAAAGGAGAATAACCTTTTCAATAATCACGATAACAATAATTTTAATAATAAACATTATTTTTTATTCTGTGTTGGAAACGTGCTTCCATAAACAGGCCACCTACAGGTCTGTGAACCACTGTATTTCTAAATCAAAGTGGCATTCTAATGATAATAATGCTATGACTTTAAAAAAAATAAAGATTTGCTCTTTAAAATTGTTGTTTTTGAGAATTATTGTGCTCTTAACATTGTCACAAATTAATAAACGTGATGGAAGGTTGAATCGCTGTTCAATGTTTCGATTTCGCAAATGCACATTTCAACATTGAAGGTCAATTGTAGGATTATAAGTGTCAGCTGGGGTTTTATATAATAAAGAGAGAGAAACTTGAAATACTTCTAAGCAGTACAATGCATCCACCTATAGTAGTGATGACTGTGGCAGCAAAAATAACTGCGTTCTCCCAACTCCAGTTGTTAATTTTTTTTTCTCCCGTTACAGTCACACCTCTTCCAGCCGCCGCAGCCACAATCTGATGTTGAAACACAAAACAAAATATTAACTATTAAATATGTTATTTAACAATAAATACAAATGCCAAATGAGCATATTTGAACATAGCATGAAACGAGAAGAGACATAAACAATGTCTCCATGTAAACAAAAGATGAAATAATCTTTTCACATCTTTGAGAAAGACTTTTTAAAATAAGCAATTATATTTCATTAATGTGTCTTCGTTTCATCTCATCTCACGATTACCCATTTTATTTTTTACTCCGAGGCGGAAACAGGCTTCCATATACAAGTCAAAACAACAGGAAAAGAGGAAGAGTGTTTAGTGTTTGTGGAGATATCAGCAAATTAAACCTTTGTCTTCATGTACACTAGTTAGAGTCAGTATGGTTGCAGTCAGTCTATCGCTGTGACCATAAACATGGCTATTTAAATACCTTAAATTAGCGAGTATACAAACAAACACACCCAAACCAAATTGACTGAGTATAGGACGCCCTGCAGTTTCGATCTCCTTCTGACTTCAGTCCAGTCTGATGTGTCACTGAAACAACTTACTTTAAATGTACTTTTCATGTCTTTGAATAACAACAAAAACACTATCTTTCAGCTTGCTCATGTAAATATCAGTATTTAGAGTATGCCACCACAATGGTGTTGTTTGAAAACCAGAGGAACAGGTTTTCTTTGCCACATCATGTCACATCATGCTCAGTAAACATAAGTATGAGGGCTTTTACAGTTTTTAAATTCATGTCAGTCAAGGTAAAATATGGCACAATTAACAATAGAAAAAAAAAAGCTTTTTAAAATTTTAATATGGTAACAAATTAAAAATCAGCTTTTTTCAGTTCAGTTTGAAACGATGCAATGTGTTTCAAAGAGATTTTGAATGTTGCCGTAGTACAGTTGTCATGTTAGTATACCATACAGTGGCAAAGAAAACACATAGAATACCAAAACAAACCGAAAATAAATTAATAAAAAAAAATAAAAAAAAACTGATTTCCACAATAACATTCATCCCAAGTGTTACTGAAGTGAAAGTGACATGTGGCCAAGTATGGTGACCCATACTCGGAATTAGTGCCCATCCAAAGTGCACACACACAGCAGTGAACACACACACATCGTGAACACACACACATCGTGAACACACACACATCGTGAACACACACACATCGTGAACACACACACATCGTGAACACACACACATCGTGAACACACACACATCGTGAACACACACACATCGTGAACACACACACATCGTGAACACACACACATCGTGAACACACACACATCGTGAACACACACCCGGAGCAGTGGGCTCCCCCCCCATACAACCCCTGCCGGTACGAGACTCAAACCCACAACCTTTGGGTTACGCATCCGCCTCTCTAACCATTAGGCCCCAGCCTGTTTAAAGGCTGTGACACCATTCATGGCATTTATGGCATAGCTACTGTCAGTATCAATACTGGAAATGACATTGCAAGAGTTGTAAAACAAGTACAGGCACTAATGAACACAATACTGTATCCTGCATATTTACTGGTGTTGTTCATAAAATGTTCTTCAAGAATGAGTGAATTAATACTATAGTTGATGTTTTCAGATAGATGAATTACAGTATTTGCAATATGTTCTCTGGTGACAAATTACAAATGCTCACACACCTTTGTGTGTATATAGTAAACATCTGTGGTTACAATACGAGATAATATTTCAAAACTACTTATCATATATTTCAAACTTCATTCAAACTTAAAACATATTTTAATTTAGATGGTGATACATCATTATCAAGTTAAATGTGTAAAATAACTGGTTTGTTGATTAATCTTTAAAATCATTTGGATTGAATAGGGTCAAATGAATCAGAAAGAAATAGTTTAAATGCATGTTTTGTGTGGATTTAAAACTTTTTGGGTGATTTTGTGTCTAGCATTGGGGGAAAATAGTGCTAAGATTAGATCTAGAAGTTGAAAATAGTAGCCTACCAAAGCCAAACAGCTGCTTGCTTTGTTTTCATATTCGATGCATACAGCACGTGTGTGCGCGTTTTCTCGTGGTACAGTCGCGTTTGAACGAGTACACAATGTATGACTGGCAAAAGCACATTCCTAAGAATGACTTCGCCAATTTTATTGCCCACGGGGGGAAAGTCCACAAACTTGGAACAATCGCGCCTCAGTCTTTTTTAGGTTCGCCAACTCCCGTCACCTCCAGAGATTTGACACGTTTAGGACAAAGTTTCGCTTTGTTTTGTTCATGCGCAAATGCGTGAAACTGTTACAAACTAGGTACAATTGTTTAAAATGCTCTAAACTTACATTAAATTAAGACGGAACCTTCTTATTAGTCGCTTGTGTGTGAGAAGCACCATAGCAACGGTAAATGTAGCCTATTCAATAACTGATACTTAGGCTAAACACTTGGACAACTTTTCCCAAGAGCTTCTGGAACTGTTTAGGCTATACCTAAAAAAATCTCCAAGCTGTTTTTCTAAACACCACTTGAGGAATTAAATAATAAAGCCTACCTCAATTATCAGATCCAAATCATCCTTTTCTAAGCAGGGATATTTCTGTAATAAATGGTCAGTGTGGTTTTTATAATCGTCCAGAGCTGCTTTTAAATGCGGTTCCTCGAGGATCTGAAATATCGCGGCTCCGATGGACAAGTAGAAAATGATGATTGAGGTAAGAATTGGTCCTTTATCTGCCATAATACTGAAGTAGATCCTTCTCTGTGCTCAGTTACATCAAGTAACAACCACTGATAAAGTCTCCTAAGTTTCTGGTGATGTGTTACTTGATGCGGGTGAGGAGGAAGTGGAATTCGGAGCCACGCCTGTAGGTGTGAACGCGAGGACTGCCTTGTCTGGCTGTAAACTGCGTGGTTTTGCTAGAGGGTACGATTTTTGAGAACTTTTCTTTTGTTTTTGGTCTTTAATAGATTTTAAATTGCATTTTAGTTTCGAAGGAAAGACTGAAACAACACACATACAAATATTAGAAGACAGAGATCTTCTCAGAACTTATACCCACTCTTCTTTGTCATTTTTGTATTTACTTTTAAGGTGTTTTAATGGAAGTATTAGTTGGTTCCCCACAAGTTCACACAGATGCACTTGAAGAGTACACACTTTAAAAAAGGGTTCCACATAGGATGTTTTCACAGGAGTGCCACAGAACCATTTGATGTTTCCTAAAGAACCATCCAGGGAACAGTTCTTAAAAGAACATTTTTCAAGAACATTTTAATAATATAAACTAAAGAACCGTACGAGGAACCTTTTTTTCTAATTGCAATGTTCCATGGATGTTAAAGTTTCTAACCATCTATGGCAATAAATAACCTTTATTTTGTGACTCATCACATGTACAACAGAAAAGTTATACTTTCGAAATTGTGTGTGTGTGTCTGTGTGTGTGTGTGTGTGTTAGTGCTGTCAAACGATTAATCGCGATTAATCGCATCCAACATAAAAGTTTTTGTTTAAATAATATATTTATGTGTGTTGTGTATATTTATTATGTATATATAAATACACACACATGCATGTATATATTTAAGAAAAATATGTTATGTTTATATATTAAATATATATATTTAAAATATAAATTATACATATATATATATATATATATATATATATATATATGTGTGTGTGTGTGTGTGTGTGTGTGTGTGT